ATCCTGAGCAGAACCAGCCCCAGGAGCAAGTGAAAATGTGTGTCAAGCTGTGATTAAGTAGCTGTGATTAAAGACTGAATAATTACCCTCCCAAGCAAATAGGTCTTAAAATGTTCTCTCAGGCTGCAAGCAGGAAACCTACTGGGCCTGCATGATGGCTCACTATGAAGGGGTGGGGAGGCCGGGACCCCCAGCTGGTTTGACTCAGTGGATAGAGCATTGGCCTGCAGACTGAAGGGCCCCAGGTTTAATTCCAGTCAAGGGCATATGCCTGGGTTGCGGGCTTGAACCCTAGTAGGGGACGTGCAGGAGGCAGCCCATCAATGATTCTCTTTCATCATTGATACTTCTATCTCTCTCTCCCTCTTCCTCTCTGAAATCAATAAAAATATCTTTAAAAAAAGAAAGAATATAGTATCCTACCCCTACATAAAAAACAACAAAACTTTAAAAATAAAATAAAAATAAAATCACAATCTGGGCACATTACTGTTTTTAATGTGTGGAATACAATAAGGGCATGAGATATGAGGTCTGGCTTTGAGAAAGAGATGTGTGCAGGGCTTAACAAATAGAATGTTGAGTATGAGACAGCATCTGAGTGGTCAGGAAGGTAGGAGACTCAGGCAGTTATAAAAAAGAACAATATTGGATAGGACTTCAAGGAGGAGAAAGTGGTCAACAGTTTAAATACTGCTGTGAACTTAAGAAATATAATGAATAAGGAGACCTCAAAGATGACAATTAGCACAGGAAATCTTGAAGGAGAACTGGGAGTAGATTCATGGTTGAGAGGGGATGAAATGAATCTTTTATTCTGAGAATATTTGGAGTATCTCTAGGACAGGATATTGGATGTCCACCTTCCAAAAGCCAGTAACCAGTGTCCAAATGGGCAGATCCAAGAGTGAGGGCTAAGGTATCTTGGATCACAGTGCTGTAGCAATAGGCCCAACACTGGCCCTGTGGTTCTGTAGCCCAATTCATGCTTTTCCTGAATATTCATTTTCATTCATGTACTGGGCCAAAGGAGAGAGGGAGGTGACAGTGGGCAGTGGCAGGGGCCCCAGCCACTATGGTGCCCACTCCCTTTTTGCCTCAATGGACCACTGCCTGATGCAAGGTAATCATCTAGATGGCCCTGAATACATTGTTGGTTGGGGAATCATGTACACTGATTGCCACCCAAATTCCAAAAGTAAGTTCAAGTGTATCTACAGTAGTAACTTATTCACCCATCAGCTGAACAAACTTCGCTGCGGAGGCTTTGCTGGCATCCCTTTGGGATTTGAGTGATGATGTCACTCTGCCCGGTGCATCATTTACGATTGGGCTGATTCCTCTTCTTGATCTTCTCTAGCTGAATGTATCTTCTTAGGTCCTAAGGCTGCGTTGGAGAGTATATGAATCCTGTAACCTAGTCCCAGGAGTGAAAGGGATCAACTGAGTGGTAGGATGTCTGGATTTCTAAGGAAGAGTGGTCTGGATTCCTGGCTTTTCCATCAGCCACAAGAAGTAAGTGCTGAAGAGGAAATAAGCTCCCTACTAAATGATAGCGAGGAATAAAAGCGTAGGCAGCGGCTGCTTTATGAAGTCAGAGAGGTGATCACTGTCTCTGCCCTAAGTTAAGTTCTCTTATTATTATTTGCCTTTGGTTTAAGATGTTGAATAAACATGATGTGGTATTCATGCTGGACGCAGATGCCCAAGAGTGTAGGATGACTGGGTTTATTAGAGCAGTGTTGGTGACTTTTATTTTTATTATTAAAATATATTTTTTATTGATTTCAGAGAGGAGGGGAGAGGGAGAGAGAGATAGCAACATCAATGATGAGAGAGAATCCTTGTCCTGCATGCCCCACACTGGGGATCAAGCTCACAGCCCGGGCATGTGACCTGACCAGGAATCAAACTTTGACTTCCTGGTTCATAGGTCCACATTCAACCAACCCCAGCCAGGCTGTTGGTGGCCTTTAGATTTTAAGGATGTCTGTACAACATTATAGATACAAGAAGGTAAGGGTGAAATTTCTAGGTGCTTAACAGAGGTGAGAGGGGTGAGAAGGTAGGTAGAATTGGAGGCTAAGATCCCACCAACACTGTTTCAAGAAAAGAAATAGTCCTGCCTGCAATTCCCAGTAGGGGGCGTGCAGGAGGCAGCTGATCAATGATTCTCTTCAATCATTGATGTTTCTCTCTCTCCATCTCCCTTCCTTTCTGAAATCAATAAAAAAAAAATTTTTTTTTTAAAGAAGAAATAGCATGGAGTGTATCTGGAGTTTGCTAATAGCAGTTGGGGGGTGGCATCTCTTTCATACATTTATTCCTGCCTTCCATCCTCATTTGGGTGGATCTTAAACATGTCACCAGCCACCAAGTTTGCCCAGGTGGCCTATGTTGCTACTATACTGTATTCCTGCGTTGTTACTGCTTCGCATTTTTATGGTGCCTCATAATTTTTTTAAAAAAATACGTTGTATTGATTTGTAGAGAGAGAGAGGAAAGGAGAGGGAGAAAGATAAAAACATTGATTGGCTGCCTTCTACAAAGAGAGGAAGGGAGAGGGAGAAAGATAAAAACATTGATGGGGGGGTGGTTGGGGGTTGATGGGGTGGATGAGTTTAGCCTGCAACCTGGGCATGTGCCCTGACTGGGAATCGAACCAGCAACCTCTTGGTGCATGGGACAAGACTCAACCAACTGAGCCACACTGGCCAGGGTGGGGGGCCTCATAATTTTAATTACACTTGCATATCATATCTTACTCAATCCCTGCACGGATGCTATTGGTGACAATAATAAGGAAAAGTACAATGATACTGGTGACACCACTCATCTGCTATACTGTCCTCTAGTCCAGGGCTCTTTGCAGCTCGACAGTAGAGAACAGGCAGAAGTTAGTGCAGGGGGTCAAAAGCAGTTTCAGTTTATCCTCAGCTTGATAGTCCCCCAAACTGGAGCCAGGTTGTCACTGAGTCAAGTGGCATTAGCTCTTTGCCACTCCCAGGATTCATGCTGGACAGTGGAAAGCCTGCTTCTCAAGCTCCAGGCCAGGTTTCCAGGGAACACATACGTCTCTCTCTGACTGTAGACAATCTGAATAAGCCCCCGAGCCTCTGTACCCCATATAAGTAGTCCCCTGGGCCCTCCCTGGGATTTGCTCCTGGGCCACCTGGTCCTTCTTCAATCTTGTACTTAAACATGTCACCAGCCACCAAAGCACACCTAGGAGTATGCCTGTCTTTGCCCCCACGTAATCTCGCCCTTCTCTGACGTCCAGCCTCAAAGGAGGAGGAAGGTAATTTCTCCATAAAAGTACACTTTTAGTTTGGGAGAGGTTGGGTGTGGTAAACACAGTCCCTTCTTCTCAGTGAGCTGTCCACCGAGACCAGATGCTCTTGACTGTACTCCTTTGTCTATTTACATTTTTTGCCATGATCACGTATAAATTAGGACTCGTTTCTTCCAGCTTATTTCACATTTCTCATTTATTATACTTTATTTC